TTATGAGTTGAACTTGTATATATTTTGAGTTCTAATATATATATATATATATATATATATATATATATATATATATATATATATATATATATATATATATAACATTGTGAGATTGAAATCCCTATGTACTCACTAGGTTTCCCAACCAGACTCGCTCAGTTTATTTGTATCATAGGTGTCGATATGAAGCTACATTACACTGAAAGATTAACGGAGATGTAGATCATTAATATAAACAAAATACATTTCTTCGGAAATGCTTTGATAATATCTTTATCATGTTTTCTGGGAATAAATTCCACAATATCATTCATTAAAATGGATACTTTGATTTTTAAATAAGCATAAATAAAAATGTTAAAATGACCGTGAATTTAGGGATGTCACAATTGAAAAACCAAGTTTATGGTGGCTGTACATAGTTGTTTGGCTGATCATTGGATGTGAAGTGTAGCTGGGGGCTAGTCTGTTGTGTGATTGGGCTGAAGAGGGTTTGCTACCTAAGAGTCCGACAAAATTAAAATTAGGCCTGCTCTATGACATTTGTTGTTGCATTAAATTAGTAAGAGCCCATTATGGCTATGAAGCGTAGGCAACAATCCACTATGGTGACGTATATGAGGCCTTTGGTGGCGGTGACATGTATATCCAGCCATATCATTGTTGTTGGTTAGTATTGCTGGTGGCTGAAGATGACGGCCGACGGTAACGGTTATTGGTATTACTCTCTGATGGTCATTCTAGTGTTAGTTTCGTCCACCCCTACGGCGTAAGACATTAGTTCCACTACGAAGAAGAATGAGTGTCATGATATGGAATCGGTACTTGGTTTTGATTCATTCGGTGCTCTTCGAGAAAGAACATGGATCAAGTTTCAATGAATGTTGGTAAAAGAGAGCGGTGGCGAATGATGCTTGCTTGATTGTCGAACTTACTTGATAAACCATTAACGGTGTAGACACGAAGATTTTTGTCGGGTACTGATCGTTCAATTCCTTCAAGGAGGTCCACAATGCCTTTGAGAAAAAAGTGAGTAGTAAAGTTTTTTATAGGGTGAAACCTTTTGACTCTATATTAAAAAAACAAATTTGTAAACTAATAAATGATTAAAGATATATATTATAAATAAATAACTAATAAATAACAATTTTTTTTGTTTTGCTTTGAACTATTCGGTTTTTATTTTATAAACCAAAACTAGTAGAAAATAACAATTCGGTTAATGTTAAAATCAATAAAAAATTATAAATATCCAAACCAAATTGTTAAATTAGATAATTTAGTTTTATCCAAATAATAAACAACCCTATTTAAATGGATCGAAAGTGTTATCTATGTAATCAATGACATCAACCCGATGAAGTGAGTGTCTAATAATTCATGCCAGGCGTCACGTCATAGTTGAGGTGATTGAGCTCAAGCAGTAGAGAAACATATGTTTTGATGTTAGTGATGTCGTAAGCCTTGACGGGAGGTGGAGCCTGGTTGGCGGCCATTAGGGTTAATGCCGTGAGTACGAAAGAAGAAAAAGAGGAAGACGATAGAAAGGGAAAGAAAAAAAATATTTTTGGAGAAGACTGAGGTATTTAATAGCATGAAAATTAGTATTTTCCCATTAAGAGAACTCCATTAGACTATATACACCTTAGTACCTTACTTTAGAAGACCTTGGGCCTACACATAAAAATAACTAAATGGGCTAGCTACTACTACCAAATAAGGTATAGCATAAATATAATGAATATGCATAAGAGTATGTTGGCTAACTAATATTTCGTTAATCAACTATTTGTCTATATTTTGTTATATCGATTGGATAACTGATATCTTGAAACGTTCTTGAATTAGTTTGAAACAATTATTAATTAGAGTTTTATGCAGAAAATTTTATTATTTTAATTTTTTTTGATAAAATCCTCAATGTTTTTTGTTTTTTTTTTAACAGGAAAGTTTTATTATTTTGGAAAAATCAAATATTCTATCATTTCCTATTTAAATAAAAAAAAGTTTTTTCATTATGTTGGACAAAATATTAAATAACCAGGATTTTTCTGTTAAAAAAATTAGAACTTTATTATTTTTTTCCTAAAATAATGAGATTTTTATACAAAAGACACTACTATTTATTATTTGATTATATTATGTATTACTTATAAATGTATGTTTAGGCTCACGTAATGTTTACGATTTCGTGATGGGAGGTAGATGGCAGTGGTTTAATGTTTTTCATATGTTTAAATAAAAGGGTCGTTTCGAAAAGTGAAAGATTTTTTTTGTATGTATTAGGGGTGTGTTTGTCACATAGCGTTTGATAGTGTTTGATGTAACGCCCCAAATTTCAAATATAATTATAACTTAACATAGTTCCAAAGCTTCCAAAAATCAAGATTCAAATACTAATGTAATTATTAATAATAATAACGGAAGCAAATATAAATTTAATTAAACACTTGGTGCGCTACGTCTTCTTCAAAACTTATCGTTTTCTTCAAGTCTGAACTTTATCATTTCCATTCCCGCTGCCACTTGCTACGTTATTTCCCGGGTTGCGTGCATTTAAAGATTCTAATGGGTAAGCATAGGGCCTAGTGAGTTCGTGGTTTTCATGCATATTGACGTCAATAAAATAAAAATAATGCAACAATTTATCAATATAAATCTTTTTCATTTCTTTCCACCCTTGATGACACATTAGGGAACTACTGTCATTTTCAGGGAACAAGTCCCTCCGCCGGGCACAACAAATATGCTTACGGCTAGATAAACAGAGCGTAAGCTCTCCGCCGCGTACTAACACCCTGTACGACGACTAATAATAAGACCGTGTAAATACACCTGTCAACCACCATTTTCACCATTTTATATGAAATAATTCACAAAATTTCACACAAATATTCATAGCAATAACAACGGTAACATATAATTGCAAATAATTTAGAATCAACTTTTCATGCAAGCAACCACAAAATTCACACGAAACTCACCTTGTTGGCGTTAGGTCTTAACCAAAGTGTGTCACGCTACACGCACCCTACATTTAACCAATATATTTTCTGAGGACATAATCCTAAAAACATCTTGTGATTTCATGGTGTGGGGTTCGACTATTCGTACGCCTTGTTTGGCCAGCTAATATATTAGTTATCATGCTAAAAATTTTATATATATTAAAACGTAAAATTTTTAAAGGAAATAATAAACTAATTATTTATTAAATAATTTGAGTAGAATATTTAATTACCAAAATTTCAAGGGCTAGAATGCAACTCTTTATAACAATAAAAGTAAATGGCAAGATGTCAAAACTGTAACTATTTAACATATATTCAAAAGGATGACAAGTGATTTAAACCATGAGGGCCTTTTCTGTAACTGTTTGTTGGATTTGAAAAAAAAAGTGAATGTAAATGCGTATGGATGGAACAATAGGCAGTGCTTTTGACAGCTGGATCACTAGGAAAATTTACTGTGATATATCTATTTATAAATCAGATGATACGTTTTGTAAGCCCACCCATAGTAATTTACCCGATTTGTCCTCCTTAACCCGCTATTTTTTTTTTTTTTTTTTTTCTATTTCTGCCATTCTTATCTTTTTTTTACAGCTTTGATTTTGTCCCAATAATCGTCAAATTATTGAGTGAAACCCATAAATAGTTATCTCCGCTGCTAACTAAGACAAATCCATTTTAATCTAAAATAAAATCATATAATCAAAGATTATTTATATCAGTTTATGCCAAATTTTACTTTTTCAATAACCATCAAATTCAACATTTTCATAGCCAAACCAAGGACATACGATCGATCTAGACCACACCATATATAATCTAAAGCGATATTTCAACTAATTTAAACTAAAATTAGAAGAATTTACCTTAATTTCGAAAGAAATCACAAATATCTTCACACTTTCAATCTCTGAATTCTCCCTCGAATCACAGTTGTTTCTTGCAATTCCAGTGGGGTTTCCACTCTATTTTTCGAGCTATATATAATGCCTAACTCAAAAACTGAAGGAGTCCTCTCGTTTGCTCGAATTTAAAGCCATATTGATGAATGACGGTTTTGATCATTAAGCCTCATAATTTGTATGTAATTAACCCATTAATTGTGAACTAATCTTCTTTCTTTTAAATTGATATAATCAAATCATATATATATATATATATATATATATATATATATATATATATATATATATATATATATATATATATATATATATATATATTTTGACACAAGTTATTACATTTGATGGCTTCTAACTTTCAGTGTTTGACAAAACGTTCCGTTTTGAACAGAAAACTTCGTTTGACACTACAATCTTCTAATGTTAAGTTTAAACAAAACGCTCCAAATCCAAATGCTATTTCACGTAACCTTTAACAAAACGCTACTAGCTGGAAGCTACCCACTATCTGCTACAAGTTACCTGCTAGCAACTATTTTTGCCGAACATGCCCTAGAATTACATGAGCGTTTTAGTAGACCAAAAATTTATATCATTGATCGTCTTTTTCTATATTTTCCTTTTATTTAACTATATTTATTATTTAACATGTTATTTATTTATAAACTAAAAACAAAAACAAAAAAAAGTACTATCTAAAATTCTAAGCCTAGACAATCTTATACTGAATTTGACGACGTACATTGGACCGAGACTTAAGATCCGAAAAAAAAAAAAAACAAAGACTGCTTCCAATCTTTCGTCAATAACGTGAATGTTAATCATATGGAGCTTTTGTTTGGAAAAAAAAAAAAAAAAAAGTAAACGCCCCTTGGATGGGTTGCTACAATCTAATTTGTAGCAGTTTGGTGACACTCATCGGTGATAATCTAGCCCAACAATCGGCATGCTTCAAATGACAGCAATATCATTAATTCCTTCATTTTCACTCAATCCAACAAATTATTTCTACACACCAATATATTATATTTCAAATACTTCTCTTCGTTCTTTCTACTACCACTTATCTCTACACATCTTATCAAAAATGCCCCCTCAAGAGCCTCTTTCCTACCCTCTCAATTCCCCATTGTTGCACATTCTCTCCCCAAAATCATATCTCAATCTTCCATTACCTCAAAAGAAATCTTTACTAAAAATGAGCCTTACAAAGAGAAAATCAATCCTGATTCTTGTTTTTATCCTTGTGATTGCCTCCCTCATAAGAGTACTCAGAATAACCATCACCACATCATACTTCCCAAATGTTGTTTCATCATCTATGGATCATGATCTTATAACAACAACAAGAAGTAACGTGAGTGACAAGACACTCTCTGAAAAGGAACTTAGGTTTCTCTCAGATATAATCCTTCAAAAATCTCCCTGTAATCTTCTTGTTTTTGGGCTTGAAGATCAATACCTAAAGCTACCAACTATCAACAAAGGTGGCGCAACGGTTTTTCTAGAGGACAAACCAGAAAAGCTAATGAAAATGAAGGGAAATGACGATGGTGTACAGGTATTCAGAATCAGGTATAAAACATCCGCTAAAGAAGCGTATAAGTTGTTAAAGCATGCAAGAAGAGACTCTAGTTGTTCTTACAGAAGACTTACCTCAAAATGTAAGATTGCAGTTACTGGATTCCCGAAAGAAGTGTTGAAGATTAAGTGGGATGTTATTGTTGTGGATGGACCTGGTGGAGATGGACCTGAGTCGCCTGGAAGAATGGGAGCGATTTATATGGCGGGTGTTCTTGCAAGATCTGGGAATGGGACGAATGTTGTTGTTCATGATGTTGATCGGATGATTGAGAAGTGGTTTTCATGGGAGTTTTTGAGTGAAAAGAATTTGGTTTCTTCTAAAGGGAAGTTTTGGAATTTTAAGATAGGTCAAAGAAAGAAACTGGTTACTTTGAAGAGATCGTGATCACCATCATGCAAAAATGAATGTGAAAGTTAATAGAATTTACTCCATTTTTTTTGTTGTTTTTGTGGATAGTATGGTTGAGTTAACTTGTTGGTTATGTAGGAAAAATGCATAAGAAACATATGAATTTAGTGTTCTTTTTTTTTTTTTTTAATGAAAAAGGATCTTCCGTAACAATGGTTTTCGGGCCCTAACACCGACTAATCTTTGTTGTGTATATTAATTAAGTTATGCCTGAGTCACTATAGGGGAATCTTCATGGGGTGAGATCTATGTTTTGAAGAGTATATCATATGAAAACAATAATTATATTTCGTAAACAGTTTCAGTCATCTATGTTTTTGTGAAGCAAGCTGATTTTTCCACAGCAAAAGCGAAATTACCTCCAGTTCTATCCTTCTTCACTGGCACATAAGCATCCACGATGTTCTGGTAATCCCTGAAAATTTTCCAAAGCTTGCTAATGTAAATATTTGTAGTGAACGTCAATCGTACAAGGAGCTGGGGAGGAAGAATATTGGACGTCGTTTGTTTGGTAACATATCTCAGATTCCCTAGGATCTTTCTCTCTGTTTCAATAGCTATAAATTAAATCAAGGATATAATTGTCGTTACATTAAATTTTCAGTCGAAGAATTGGCAAAATTGGCAAAATTTTTCTTTTTCTTTTCTTTTTTTGTACTTAATATACCATCGAACTTTGTGTTTGTGTTCACCATAACTCTTTGATCGGCTATCACAGGTCAAAAGCCGGTCAAAAGGGTTATGGTGAACGCAAACAATAAGTTCGATGGTATATTGAATAAAAAAAAAAAAAAAAATCAAATAAAGACAAAAGTTAATTACCCTAGAAAAAATTCGTTATTACACATGGGCTACTCGTTTGGGCCCATAGTCCAATAGCGGTATATCTTTTTACATGGAAAAGGGTGATAAAATATTTTATTACACTTATCAAAATGTTGGTATATGTTAGGGTAAATTACTCGAATGGTCCCTATGGTTTAGGGTAATTTGCGCATTTGGTCCCTAATTTATATTTTTAACTCGGAAGGTCCCTATTGTTTGTTAATAGGAAGTCAATGACTGCCAATTTTAGATAAATGTTTCAGAATAGGCTTATAATCGTGTATGAGTTGTTCTATCGTAGAGCAGAAACGAAAAAGAAATAAGCAGAGTTTTATAAATTACGTGGGTATGCTTATTGTTTTTAAATCTATATTTTATTTTATAGCATGCGATTATTTTCAACTATATGCAAGGTATTTTTTTTTTGGTAATACATGTTGTGTACATGGAAAAATGGTTGGGATGTCTGGGTGGGGTGGGGGTTCTTTTTTGCAATAAGAAGGTACTCCTAAAAGTAGAGGACAATATTACATGAAGATAGTTACTTTATCTATGTGGTATGAATAATCGGCGGCCGATTAAGAAGTAGCATTATAAGAAGGCAAAGCATAAATAAGGATATTGTGACAGGCAAACATTTTTTGGATTAAATATTAATTATCAAAGGCAACAACCTTAAATATATTGAAAGTGATAGTGATCATCAAATTATGGTGGAATGGAAATGCCAAAAGGAGTCTTCCAATGAGTACATTTAGAATGATTAATACATTCTTGGTTGATCGTACCTAGGAGTGGTCATCCAAGAAGAAAGTGTTAATATATCATAAGGTTATATTTGGAAGAATTGGCTTCTTCCAAGAACATTGCTGCGGTGTGAACACTTGAGTTAATATGCTTTTGGTGAGCAAAAGTGCTCTTTGTGAGCAAATATGCTCTTGGAGAGTAAATGTGTTCTTGGTGAACAAATGTGCTTTTGGACGATAGAATGTGCTCCCTTGGTAAGAGAATGTCGTCTTGGTGACCAAATGTGCTCTTGGAAAGAAAGCGAGCATGGCATTCAAATGTGCTCCGACACTCACTAGAATGCGCCGTCTGAGCTGAATGTGCACCACCCTTCTAAATGTGTCCCTATTACTTGGTAAATGCGTTGGATCTTCTAAAGGCGTTGTCTTATTGCAAAATGTGCTCCAACAACTAGAAAATGTGTTGATGGAGCTGAGAATGCCCTAGTAGGCATCTTTTAAGGAAATATTAAACGTCATAAGGTGTATAGAAGGATGCTCGAATCCCTCAAACCAACTAATATCAACTTGTAACAATCCAAAAATTCAAGGTAAAAATTTCATTTTTCAATATAATTAAATCACTTTAATAACTTTGTTCAAGATATTGAAAAGCAATTCAAATAAAACAAATATCATAGTCTAATCCTGAAGATCATATATTGCGGAAACACGGGTGTATGCGCTACGTTCTTCTCGAGCTTTTTCATTAGAAAACTGGAGTACTTGAAACAAAACTGAAGCCATAAGGACAAAGTTTACTGAGTTCCCCAAGTACCACATACCATACATATCGAACGATCCATACATGTCATACATAATCGCGAGCCATGCATATCATTCAAATATAATAATCAATAAAGGTGCTATGTACCGCATATAGTCTTGTCATTACGCAACAAGCCAGCTCGTAGTCTTTCTTGTTAGGCCGGGGGCCACAACCTTAGGTCTTACAGACAAGTGCCAAGAGCCGTCTCCTGGTCTTCCATGCAAGTATCACAAAAACAACTAACATACAAACTATACTACTTAACCAATTAATTGTTAGAGTTCAGACTCTGGTCTTGCATACAGTATGTCAGGAGCCGCCTCCTAGTCTTTCATACATAGTACTAATGGCTAACTCCCCCCCCCCCCCCCCCCCCCCCCCGTGTCTTACTACTATACATAAACCAAATGGGTCGGCATTGGTGCCTTCGACCCATACAAAACTCCTCGAGCTAACAATACCAAAATATCATAGCAATTGGGTCCCAAACCATGATCCATAATCGATACTTGGTGTAAAATGACTATTTTACCCATGGCCCAACAAGGTTTAAAACCAAAAAATCCATGAAAGCCCACTAATGGCCCAATTTTCCAAACTGGACCCGATCCCATATGGGACTTATCCTAAGCACATATTTCCTCGAATAAAATTCAGGTTACCTTAAACACCCCTTGGGACAAACTTGATGAAAAGCATACGTCAAAAGTCAAAGTCAATGCTCAGAGTTGACTTAATTTGCCGAGTTGTTCCTCAATTCGCCGAGTTTCCCCATTAATCACCAATCGCGAAAAGTCGGTCCAACTCATCGAATTCACCCCAAACTCACCGAGTTTCCTCTTTAGACAACAAAATCAGGAAAAATGATTCCAACTCGCCGAGTTCACCCATGAACTCGCCGAGTTCCTCATTCAGCAAAACCTCTTAACCCATTATGTCACCAATCTCAAAACTAAAGGCTCCACTGCTCAGATCTTAATCTGAAATATTGTCTAGAAGAGTAAAGTTTCCAAATTTACCCTTAAGTACCATTCTAATGGGTCAAAAACCCAAACCCTAAACTTAAGAGGTTAAGGGCTTACTCAATAATCACCAAATCATCAAAACAAAGCTCATGGATGCAGATCTGGACCTTAAAGGCTGAAAGGTCACGTAAAGTTTCCAACTTTACTCTCATGCAAGGCTAGAAAAAGCTCAAAAGTTCAAAAGAGGCCAAAAGAAGGGCTTAATGGATGTATGGAGCCCTTAAGACCATAAAGTTGGCATCTTTATGCCACAAGAGCTCCCAAGAACCATGGATCTAAAAGAATCACTCCATTGGGATGACCAACACCCCATCAACCACTCTAATCGGACCAAAACATCCAAAAGGACCCTAAGAAGGAGATCTATGAATTCACAAAGCAAGGTTGAGACTTTTTACAATAAAAGTGTCGAAAATGAAGCAAGTATTCGAGATCTAGAAACTCCTTCTTGTATCACCAACTCTCACCAAGGTTCCCTTTTATGTAACCTTCTATGTAAATATTATAAAGTATTTGTGCATCGATTCTAAAAACAAATGCATCTAAAATGACATTGTTTTTATATTTCTTAAAGATAAAAATAAACAACAAATGTTCTTACAATAGGAGACCAATAAAAAGGCTACTTAGAAAATCCTAGATGATTCTTCGTAAAATGATTTTTTCTTAACATAATTAAACACCATAATAGTTGTGTAGATATATAAAACACATGAATACCGAATTAATGGCCACATAACCATAGGAGTGGAAGAAGATGATGATGTAATGTATTATATTCAATAAGATATTGATTGATGATTTAGGATAGAACATCATGCATTAAAAAAAATAAGGTTATAAAATGAGATCTCATGTGATGATCAAAAGGAAACTCTCAAAAACCAAAGTTGTTTTCAGCATAATCAAATGTATTTATAATAAAAATGCAAAACAAAAATGAAATGAAAGGAAACTTGGGTGAAGAGAATAAAGGTTATGAAATAAGTTGTCAATATAGTTAAAGAGAATGTAATTGATGAACATGATTAAACTTTCTTCAAATAAATTAGCAAACCAAATTGAAAAGGATAGAAAAAAAACCGAATGAAGAGAATAAAGGTTATGGAATGTGATCTCATGAGACTACGAGATGATAATTTCATAATAATTAGTTAGATTCATTGAAAATTGTTCTTCATAGGAAAGTAGATGTTCAACCTTCTCTGTTTAGGACATACCAAGATAGATCGTGAAAGTTGTCTATAAAAACCATTTATATCTTGGGTTTGCTTGATCTTGTTGTTTGAATATTATCTAAATTAGAAGATCTTCCTAAAAGGATGGAACAATAACAAAGAGTTGTAAATATGGATATCTTAAATGTCATGTTCTTTTTATAACTTAAATAGAAGTGTTGATTTTAAATTAATATGACTTTTGCGTCTTATAAGGTTCTTAGTAAAGTATGATACTTGACGTTATAATGATGATAGATGATCTCATAATCCGTTTAGCTTAAAAGTGTATATATTTTAATTTGAATTGAATTATATTAAGTGAAAATTGCAATTTTTTTTTAAATACAAACTA